TGTTTTGCCTTACAGAAACCTGGCTGCAGCAAGAGGATTATGTGAGCATAAATGAGGCAACTCCTTCAAGCTATTTAAATTTTCACATCCCCAGAAGTTCTGGGCGAGGAGGAGGAGTAGCAACAATCTTCGAGTCTGACTTACTGATTACTCCCAAAACAATTAATTCCTACAACTCTTTTGAACATTTAACCCTTAATTTCCCTGATCCAAATTTCAAGGCAAGAAAACCTCTTCTTTTTGTAACTTTGTATCGTCCACCAGGTCCTTACTCTGAATTTTTAGATGAGTTTTCAGAGTTCCTTTCTGATTTGGTATTAAATACTGACAGGGTCATCATAGTGGGAGATTTTAACATCCATGCTGACATTGAAGGCGATAGCTTAAGAGCAGCCTTTAATGCTATCTTAGACACTATTGGCTTTGTTCAAAATGTGAATAGTCCCACACATTCTCATCTTCATACTTTGGATCTTGTGCTGACATACGGCATAGAATGTGAAGAAATAACAGTATTTCCTCACAACCCTGTCCTCTCTGACCACTTTCTAATAACCTTCAGGATTACTTTAACAGAGTTCTCCTCCCCCAAAAGAAGGTTCAATTTTAGTAGATCTTTATCAGATAGTGCAGTTATAAATTTTAAAGAATCTGCTTCACTTTCTCTCTGCTCTGTGTCACTGAGCAGTGCTGCAGAGTGCAAAAGCTTAGCTTATTCCCCTTCACAGGTTGATGATTTTGTTGAGGGGGTTGCTAGTTCTCTGCGTATTGCCTTAGACAACGCAGCTCCTTTGAAAATGAAAACTGTTAAAAATAGAAAGCTTGCTCCTTGGTTTAATGCAGAGCTGCGTACTTTGAAGCAAAATGCTAGGAAACTGGAGAGAAAATATCGCTCCACAGGCCTGCGAGAGTCCTTCCTAGTCTGGAAAAATGGTTTACTGCTGTATAAGAGGACCCTTTGTAAAGCAAGAGCAGCATACTTCTCCTCATTAATAGAGGAGAATAAGAATAATCCTAGATTTCTTTTTAATACAGTTGCCAAACTCACCCAGAGCCATAGCTCTGTTGAACCGTCCATTCCACCTGCTCTTAGCAGCAATGATTTTATGGGATTCTTTATAAATAAGATTGATCTTATTAAAAATAAGATCATAAGCACTCCTCTATCCGCGATTGTACCTGAGGTAGTCATGGAATCTGAACCGGGTTTAGACTGCTTTGATCCAGTTGAACTCTCTGAATTAGCAAAATTATTGTCTTCATCTAAGCCTTCAACTTGTATGTTAGATCCAGTTCCAACCAGGTTATTTAAGGAGGTATTCCCTTTGATCTCCTCCTCCATTTTAGATGTGATTAATCTATCTCTGTTACAGGGATATGTACCTAAAGCTTTTAAGATTGCTGTAATTAAACCTCTGCTTAAGAAACCGTCTCTTGACCCAGATGACTTGGTCAATTATAGACCTATATCCAATCTTCCTTTCTTATCCAAAATTCTTGAGAAAGTAGTTGCCAAACAAGTTTGCGATCACTTCCACCATAATGAACTTTTTGAAGAGTTTCAGTCTGGCTTTAGAGCTCATCATAGCACTGAAACAGCTCTGGTGAAAGTCACTAATGATATTCTCATGGCCTCAGATAATGGACTTGTATCTGTGCTCGTCCTGTTGGATCTTAGTGCTGCATTTGATACAGTTGACCATAATATTCTTTTAGAAAGACTTGAATATTTTGTTGGAATTAAAGGAACAGCACTAGACTGGTTTAAATCTTATCTATCTGATCGAATTCAGTTTGTTCATGTTAATGATAGATCTTCAACACGCTCAAAGGTTACCTGTGGAGTACCACAGGGATCAGTGCTAGGACCAATTCTCTTTACTTTATACATGCTCCCAATTGGTAGAATTATTAGACAGCATGGGATTAATTTCCACTGTTATGCTGATGATACCCAGCTATATCTGTCTATAAATCCAGATGAAGCTAACCCATTACATAGATTACAGGCATGTCTTGAAGACATAAAAACCTGGATGACTCTTAATTTTCTGCTTCTGAATGCAGACAAAACAGAAGTTATAGTCTTTGGACCAGAGTCTCTGAAAAAGAAACTGATTAGCCAGTCACTTCATTTGGATGGGATTAAACTGATTTCAGATAATAAAGTAAAAAATCTTGGTGTTATTTTTGATCAGGACCTGTCATTTAAATCCCATATCAAAGAGGTTTCTAGAATTTCCTTCTTTCATCTGAGGAACATTGCAAAAATTAGAAATATCCTGTCCAGGGGTGATGCTGAGAAACTAGTCCATGCATTTGTTACTTCAAGGCTGGACTATTGTAATTCTTTACTATCAGGAAGTCCACAAACTGTAGTTAAAAGCCTTCAGCTGATCCAAAATGCTGCAGCCAGAGTTCTAATGAAAATGAAAAAGAGAGATCATATCTCTCCTATCCTGGCTTCTCTTCATTGGCTTCCTGTTAAATCAAGAATAGAATTTAAAATCCTCCTTCTCACATATAAAGCCTTAAATGGCCAAGCTCCATCTTATATCAGAGATCTGATTGTTCCTTATGTTCCTAACAGAGCACTTCGCTCTCAATCTGCAGGTTTACTAGTGGTTCCTAGAATTTCTAAAAGTAGAATGGGAGGCAGATCTTTTAGTCATCAGGCTCCTCTCCTGTGGAACCAACTACCAGTTTTAGTCCGTGAGGCAGACACCCTGTCTACTTTTAAGGCTAGGCTTAAAACTTTCATTTTTGATAAAGCTTATAGTTAGGGTGGCTCAGGTTATCCTGAGCTATCTCTATAGTTATGCTGCTATAGGCTTAGACTTTTGGAGGACATAGGGACCCCCATTTCATCATTCTGCTTCATTCTCTCTCTGTTCTCCTATTCTGCAGAATCTGTTAGTTCAATCTCTAACCTTCTGCTCTCTCTGCTTTTCCTCAGAGTAGCTTTGCCTCGTCTGTTCCTGTTTGGCTGTGACGTCATCCTGGAAAAAAACATCAGCTGTGCTGCTTCTATCAACACCCTTGTTAATAGATGTTGGAGATCGGCTTGTTTTCCAGTGTGGTCCTGTTTCTCTGACCGTGACTGAGTGGATGTGCTCTCTTCGTCCTCTGGCATGGGAGCTGCCTTGGAGCTCGTCTGCCTGGCTGTGTGTTTCCTGGACGGGGCCGCCTTTTACAGCTGCTTTTTGTATCTCTGCTTCTGTCTCCTTGAACCCCAGTCGGCCTCGGCAGATGGCCGCTCACACTGAGCCTGGTTCTGCTGGAGGTTTCTTCCTGTTAAAAGGGAGTTTTTCCTCTCCACTGTCGCTACAAGCATGCTTAGTGTGGGGGATTGTATTTGAGTCAATGAGTCAATGCAATCAACTGGTTTTCCTTAGATAGAAAACTTTGTATCAATTTGACTGTATGATCTGGTTGAACTGTAAAGTGCCTTGAGATGACATGTGTTGTGAATTTGGCGCTATATAAATAAACTGAATTGAATTGAAAAATAAACTGCCTGAGAACAGATGAACTTCTATAACTGCTCTTTTTTCTTATCTTCGGATCAAAAACATGAATTTTTTTTATATAAGAACATTTATGGCTATATTATAATTACGACAGAATTTATTGTTCCTCTTGGAAAATGTGTTGTGGACTCAAAGCTGCACAAACAAAAAACTGCCATAACATAACTAACATGTTATACATAAAAATTGACTTTGTGGAGGATTTAAAAAAAAACACATAAGACAATGAAGCCATTGGTTGAAAATCCCTGTTACACTATTTTTTCAGCACCTGGTCTGCCACTGATAGTTTTGTCATAATATTTATTTTTCATAAGGTGGGGCATTTTCCCACATAGCAAAATTGATGCTAATCAAATCATAGGATTTTGCAAATCTGTCTGTGTGAGATTATGCTCCTGCTATAAAAGATGATTTTTTTTAAAGTTCGTTTAAACATCTTTACGAGGGTTGGCTACAGAAAAACTAAACTATAAAGAAAAATGAATCCTTTTAACATTTTTTTTCAAGGTGACTTATTACTGTAGCTAGAGAGAAAAGACTACAGGAAAGGACAAAAAAGCAGAAATCAAACCCATTTACCTGAGCTCTCCAACATCAACAAGAAGCATTAAACTAAGAAAACATGAGCTGTTAATGATAAAATAGGAACCAGAAAAAACATGTTTGTTAGTTTAAACCATTGTTTCCCAACCTTTTTTCACTTGTGTACCCTTTTGTGAATTTGATCTTACCATAACACCTCATCTCATGCGCAAGTATTGATAAATGACCGAAAGTGGAACGTACAAAAACTTAAAACAAATTAAAAACTTTTACTTAATCTTTTAAATTGAACATTTAATTCTTAGGCATTTAATGCTTTCCATCTCAAATAAAAAAAAACAAATATGTTGCCTGAAAGTTAGTAAGGAATCTAAATAAATACAAAATAAAATCATATTATAAACCTGCATTTATAAAACTGGAGCTCCTCTGAGTAACTCCCTTATTAATACATTTAAACTTGACGAATTAGAAACAAAATACAGAACAAAAATTATATTTAGACTGACTTAATTAGTTTTACTTTGTTAAATAAAGACATCTTAGCTCAGTTTCATGAGCTCCGATAGCTCAGTGTGAAAAACAGCGGATACCAGGCTGTTCTCTACATCCAGTCTGTTCCTCCGCTTGGTTTTAATGTGTCACAGCTCAAGATTAACTCAAACATAAAAAAATAAAAAAAAACGTATTTTTACGTAAATTTTTCATTTTGGTCCTCAGCAAGCAAAACAGATCCCAGCCCTATTTTATTTTATTACCTAATAAATAAAATATTTTTATGTACCCCTTGTAATGCAGCAGTGAACCACTAGGGGTACGCGTACACCCGGTTGGGAATCACTGCCTTAAACAACACATTACATGCACAGAATTCAATATTCTAACCATCTTTAGTACATATCAAGGTATGAAACATGACTGTACCTCTCTTTAAAGGCAGAGTGGCTGATTCTGCTGAGCTAAAATCATTTATGCACACATAGAGTCTGTCTCCTGGCTTGGTGCTGGGGATTGTAACCTCTTCTACGAAGGTGCTGGGGAACTGACCTAGAGAGAGAGGAAAGACGGCAGAATCATGTAAGAAGTTGTGTTTCCTTTACACATATACTCAAAACGTTGTTGCTACTCTGCTAATGTAATAAAAAAATTAAATCTCACAACTACTGTGGTCCAGTTACATAAAAAATACTATTATAAATCACACAGGGCCAACTTTGTTTCATGCGGTACCTTCTAATCGTCGTACTTTATAGGCTGAACACTCACACAGACATGTGCCAACAGCCCACAGAGCAAATCTCTAATCAGGTCACACCCTGTTTTCAGGCCTCAACTTTTTCCAAGTTGTTGAAATAATTCCTGTCAGAGATCAAGTGGATAACCTCCACATGAATCTTACCGGTGACACCATCTTTGTTACCGAGCAACCAGAACTCGTCCACTACGCCCATCACTTCGATGACATCACCAGGGAAAAGGGGGAGCTCCTCCGAAACGCTGGGGAGGAACTCGAACAAGGCGCGCACCACCGTGCCCGCTTCCATTCCTCATAACCTGCAGAGGTGGACAGAACCGGGGAGGCAGTTATTTCTACGTCTGAAAAGGGAAAATTACCAAAGAGCATCAAACAAAACAATATGTAAGAAACAGCAACAGCTTTCTTGGTTTTCTAATCAAGAAAGCATGTAGGAACCATTCCAAGTCCTTAAGTTTTTGGGAACTAACACCAAGTGAGAGAAGTAGAAAGAGAAATCTGGGACAGAAAAAAAAGAGAAAAGAGAGAAAAGACTAGAAAGAGCTTGAGTTAGGATGGTTCCTGACAGATGGCAATCAGGGAGGACAATTTTAAATCTTTTTTGTCCTGATTGAAGTAATACAACCTTTACAGCAAAGTCTAAGTTAAATGTTAAAGCTTTGTTTGCAATCTTCAATTGACCAGAGTGAATGTAATACATCATTAACATGCTTGCTTTGGGTTTTCTCTTTCTCTTAAAGCCAAGGACTGAGAGATGAAAGGTGAACATTTAAACGACATTATAAGCACAATTAACATCAATGAACCTTTGTGCTCGCCCACATGCACAAAATCAGAATTGAAACAGAAGAACCAAATATAGTCTTTTCCCTCAAACCTATGAAAGCTTTTTTCTAAATCACAAAGATTCAAAATTTCTGTCATGCTATGTCTTCCACTCTCCATATTTCAATGTACTTCTTAACAATGTGGAATAATAATATATATTAAAATTGCAGTCTTTAATGAGAACATCCTGTTGCATTGGAAACTGTCCAAGGTATCAAATGTATTTTTTTTTGGAAGATTTAAAAGGAAGAATCCTTTAAAATACCCTCAAAATCCCCTTAAAAATTATACTAACTTAATTAAAGATTATGAAAGGAACTTAGTTTTGCGTACAATATATGATTTGAAGGGTATTGGAAATAATTGCTGTAAAATGCAATGGTCCATAGTTAGCCCTGCATGATTACAAAAAGATTATAAATTGCAAATATCTGCAGATAACTGACAAATTACAAACAATGATGGTTTAGATGGATGTCAACAATAACTGTGAAACATTCTAGCTAAAACACATGACTGCATATATGTATAGTTTTTTTTTTTTCCTTCAGAATTCCCAATGTGAATCTTCTAAATTAACATTAATTATAGTAGTTAGGACTTTTTCTAACCCTGATTAAAGGTATATAGCAAAGCAAGTGTGAGAGAAGATAAATGGTTTCCAATCAATCACATCGGGCAGAGCCTGACGATATTGACCGAATTTCAGTGGCTTTTATTCTGGATTATCTGGGGACAGAAGGAATACAGATGGGGCTGAAAAAGACCGGAAATGGAGAAAAGGAGGGCAATTTCTCACAATAAATGGGGACCTCTGGTTAATCAGGCCAAAAGGAGAGCAGCAGGAGTCTAGAGAAATTTAGAGTTGATGTCTGTAAGAAAAAAAAAAAAAGATCGTCTAGGATATAAATACATGAGAGTTTCCAAGTCTACATACACTGTCTTGTGTAACTACCCATACATCTTCTTTTCCTTTCCTTTCTACTTGTAACAGCTACAAATTTCATTGTAATTTTTTGGATTGATATATAACTCGCAATCACAATTAAAAAAAAAAAATTTTTAAAACTTTTGCCCTTTACTTTTCTTCCTCTAAATGTTGGGAAAAGCTGCACTTTTGTGATTAAAAACATGAAAAACAAAGTTAAATAAAGAATAAAGGAAATGAGAATTGATCATAACGAATGTAGTGATGTCATAATTTAGCAACAGAGCGGAAAAGGAAGCTTTCCTGATACCCTGAAAAACCTACTTGGATTTTTATGCAACTTTGAAGTTTTCAGGGGGTTTTTTTTTACAAATAAAGTACCAAAAAGTGTGGATAACTTTTATATATAAACCCAGTGCAAGCAACGGCATATACATTTTCTCCTGTGTGCAATTTATTCTCACTGTAAATGAAGCTGACCTATGAAGAACTCAGAAAATGATCAACCAGCATTGTGAAAAATACAGCCAGCAAAGCCTGTCATGACATAAATGGTTAGAAAGAGACTATACCAGTTGCACACTAGGTGGGAATACTTTTGAAAAACTTAATTCACTCGGTTTTGGACGCTAAGTGTTTCTAAGCAGAAGTTTATGTACATAGTTTAGAAACTAGATGATGCGGCATGGTAGGTGTGGTTGGCTGTTAACCCTGAACCACTTGGTGGGAAAAACTCACCGAAACTCAAGCCGGGGTCGTAGACAGAGCGAGCCAAACTATGTGTGCAACACACTGCCAATTAAAAAGCTGGACAAGCCGGTTTGTTTAAAACTTTGTTTTTAGCAATATTTCATGAGTAATATGATCAAAAACACAAGATGTTTGCATCTTTAAACAAAGTTACGTCTTAAATGTATTGAATAGGTCTTTAAAGGCAAGACTAATTCACTAAAAATTACATGCATTTTTATCTCTCCTAAATCAAAACGTCTTTTTAATTGTTAGACGAAAGTCAAAGATTTTTTTTATTTTTACATCTATATTTGTACCGATGAGGATTATGGCCACCTAAAAAAATTATAAAAAGTTAACAGATTTTTAGATTTTTTTTCAGTATAATATGAGAAAAAAAACAACGTTTTTTTTTCAGAGGTCTGACTTTTTTTATCTCAGAATTCTTCTGACTTTAATCTCAGAATTCTGACTTTTTTCTCAGAATTCTGACTTTAATCTCAGGATTTTAAATTTGATCTCAGAATTCTGGCTTTTTTTCCCCCATTTTAAACTGAAATAAAATTTAAAAATCCGTTATCTTTTTTATCTTCTTCCATAATAATTGAGCTTATTTAAAGTATATAAAAAATGAAGCCCTGCTCATTAAAGCAGCGAGCTCAACCTAGTGGGATAACTCCCAGCCTAATCAGTTCGCAGGCTGGTGTGTTCTAATTGTAAGTCATTGGATTTCCTGTAAACCTACGCATGCTTTGAGGCATACTTACAACACCTGACAAAAAAAAACCAACATAAAATTTACCATGCATCTTTAAACAGATCAAGCTTAGCTGATAACAGCTGGAGCACTTTCAGTTGTGTTTTTGCCTCTCGACTTTTAAACTGCAGAGTGCCGTGTCTGTTTATCCTGCCTGTGCTGGTGAGATACAGATTACAAAGTCTGAAATAATGTCAAATTCAAGGTTTGTGTTTAATAATGCATTACTGGTCTAATATGCTAGTATGTGTAATGTAATGTTGCATGTGTTACTTGCATGAGTTACATCTTTCTCTGTACGGTTTTATTTAACAGCTCTACTGTCAGCTGAAAAGAGGAACCAAAGTTTGTTGTTAAAATATCTGTCTAAATTTCTGCAAGATCTTTGGAGCTTAACTTATTTTTCGTGCTGCAGTTCTCGGTGGGAGATCATGCTTATAAGATAATGGCTAACTATTTTAAAGGCTTTTATCCTACAGATAATTTTGAAGGCTCGATAAATGATACTTTTCATTTAATGACTACAAGGGTGCAAAGTTGGAGGGTTGGGTTAGGGTCTTAAAATCTTGATCTCACTGCACTAAATAATTCAATGCCATCTCATGTGGTGCCAAATCTAAATTTGGAGTGCCCTGACCACTACACCAGCGCAATCCTTTGGATCTACATCCAGCCAGACAAGCTCCTGAGTTTTATATCTGAGATTTTCAGTGTTTCAGCAGCAGCCTTGGCACTTTAACATTGTGATCTAGTAACTAATGGTCAGTTTTCATCTAAGTCATTATGTGATAAAAAAGGATATAAGCAGAACCCATCCTGCTAAGAAATGCATAAAATGTACTAAGAAGTCCATTAAACATAAGCACCAATCCACACAATTACTGATACCCATGGTTAGGGATGCACCAAAGCACATTTTCTCACTTCTAGTCCAAATTAGACACTTAAATTTGGAAATAAGAAGATCCAGATTATTTTCTGATGTCAGAGCTCTGTTGCTTAAATGCCATAATGATTTTCATTGGTTATCTTAAGAGGCTGTCATAAACTCCTCTTTACACAAGGCAACTTGAGATTAGTATAGTGTCAGAAAAGGAAGGCCTAAAAACAGTCAATTCTGTCAGTGTCAACTGGACTTTTTGCTACCACTCTGACTCTGGATAAGAATAAGTTTAAGTAGCTTCTCTTTCCCTTAAAAAAATCCCTAATTTAATAAGATAAACAAACATCTGTCTAAATTTAAAAGCATTTTCTAACCTCTCCTCTGTTTTTAATAACAAGATGACTCTCTAGTATATCCATAGGGAAACAATAAGCAATAGATTCCTCCTGATTTTTTAACACTTATCAACCCCATAAAAAAACATATACTTTTTTTTTTTCTTTTTTTTTAAAATCACAATACAAACTTGATCGACCCATAAAAAATACGTTCAATGAACATTGAATAAAAGGCCTGGAATTCCAAAAACAACTTGACAGGAAGCAAAAGGAAACACAGAGGCATGCAAGGTATTTTGGGGGATGTAGGTAAGAGGAGAGCGTCTCAACCATCAGCTCCTAGTGCTCAGCTAACTAGCAACAACATGCAAAGTATCCAGCTTGTGTTTTCTTAACTGTGCTGTACTGTTTGAATACTACAGCAGATAGTAAGAGAGAAAGAGTTTTCCAGCACAAGAGGACATTTTGTATAAAAGAGGAAGTGTACCATCACTAGTATAGCAGTATTTTGGATATATATATATTATCACTTGAGCTGGTCTCAACTGCTTGAATACAATAACCTAAAGCAATTGTCATCTGCAGGTACAAGCGGAGCAGCAGACAGTTTGCAACAGACCGACATTGAGAGGTAGACATCATTGGCAACATATTATAAAATATTAATTGATAAAATAGGTATTTTCTAAATGTTTTGCTCGTTTGAACTTTTAGACTTCTATTTGACCATTATTGTGTTATGCTATTTTACAGCCAAACGTTAAATTTAAAATAAATGCATTTAAGGTGAATTGTTTTGTCTAGTTTAAAAAAAGTTTTTTTTTTTTTTTTTT